AGCCACAAGGTACCGATACCGCTACTCCACAGACCTCTCGTGGGGTGCGTCCTCACCAGAATTGCGAAGAGAATCCAGCGGTGGCGACGAGGGCCTCCCAGGAGGCCCACCAAAAAGGGAGAACGGGCGATGTGTAGCGGTGTGGGTACCCTTTTCCTCCTCCGACCTCCTCTCCTCGGCCTCCCCGGACTGACTGCCTACCAGACCAACGTGAAGACCCGAACTTCGGGGTGGGGTGGGGGGGGTACGGGTTCCATAGGTGTGGTGTTTCAAATGTTCCCCGACCCACCCCAACTGGCAATGGAAGACAAATTGAAGCCTTCGGGCTGGGTTGGGGTGGTTTCAGTGACCGACCCCCGCTCCCGCCGCGCTCCTCAGCTGGGCGTGCGCGCCCTCCGGGCCCCCCGAGTCGCCCATCCCTGGGCCGGGCGGAGCCGGCCCGCAGCGGTGGCCCGCAAAAACGCGCGGGCCGCTCGAGGGCTGCGCCTGCGAGGGGGCGGCATCTCTTCGCCCCTGCGGAGAAAGACGGAGGACCCAACACCACAGGATGGCTGGGAGAACTGGTTGAAACACCTGTGGTTTTCTGAAGACGAGCGCGGGCTGATTTCGACAATGCCTGTTTCGAAACAACTGATGTGTTATATGTTTTCGGGAAGCTCGATGCAGAATTCCTCGCGAAACCGAAGTTTCCGAAGGATTTCGGCACGCGCGCGATGACGCGCGCGTATACACTTTAGTCCCGTTTTTTTGGCGAGGAATGATTGAACGACGGTGGTTTTTGATACACCAATGTGCACGCGTAGTGTTTTCTGCAAAAGGTGACAAGGGGGGTCGATAACCAAACTGTCTGGGATGGTACGGAATCGTACTCAGTATGGACTAGTGTACACAATCAGACACGACAGAATATGGAACAAAAATGACGTGTACGTCCTGGGGGGAATCGCACAATTCTTCTAGAAATGGAAATCGATGTGGAGCAAAGAGTGCGGTGTAATCTATGTGGTGGCCCCGTGCGGCGACGGGCCGGCGGTGGCGGCAACAAGGTGGCGGACCCGACAAACGCGCCCAGACGACGGGCGGCGACAAGGCGGCGACGGCGACAACAAGGCGGCGGATCCAACAAACGAGCCCAGACAACGGGCGGCTACCAAGGCGGCGACGGGGTGGCGACGGCGACAACAAGGAGGCGGACCCGACAAACGAGCCACGTTCTTTAGAAGGTAGATCGATAAGAAACCGATGTACAAGCAGACAGGCCCATAGCAGCGGCGACGGACGGCGGCGACGGCGACAACAAAGCCGCCAGACTGAACAGCAGGCCCGGGCGACCGGCGGCGACGAGGCGGCGACGGGGCGGCGACGGCGACAAGATAGCCGCCAGACCGACCCGCAGGCCCAGTTCCTTTGAAGAGAAATAAGGGCTCCTAAGTCCAATCGCTGATAGAAGAGCTTGCTCACGATGGCTTCCGACATGTCCTCGGCGGCCCTCAAAGTCGCCCCAAGCCAGCACCAAGTTGCCACGGAAGCTTCTGACACCACGGGGCCAAATTTGTTCCAACAGTACGGGAACCAGTGTTGCGTGCTTCCTCGCAAATTCGCGTCCGAAGGGCAGTTGCGGCCTCAATGTGAATCCTAGATCGCCCGAGAGATGCCTACGCGAGGCCGAGGAGGACCCCAAGACAGCTCCAAGAGCGCCCATGAGGGACCCAGGAACGCCCAAAGAGGGCTTAAAGAGGCGATGGCTCGGCCCCCGACGGGGAGATCGCAATAAAAATCCATCCATATTTGAACGATGGCCTCCAATATTGCCATATCCACCCGATGCACAGCAGCCACATGCCATAGTCTTTGGCTGCTTAAATTAGCCTGGCGCAGGACCCAACCATATGCAGTTGTGAATACCGCAATTGTGAATACCATCTTCGCCCGCGCTCCCTATGTGGCCACGGCTCCCCGCGGGAGCCCGACATGCTCAGAGACACGTTCGTGGTCGTCTTCGCGGGCGACGACGACGACGACGACGACGACGACGACGACGACGACGAGGGCGGCATCCCTCTGACCGAGGAGCCGAAGCAGGAGAGGGCTCTGAGAGCCATGAGGGAGGCTGCCACTGGCGCCTTCGGTGGAGCTCCAGTGGGGCAACGATGCTCGTGAGCGGTGTGCCGAAATGGCCCGAGGCCGCCATGCGAACCCTGCCACTGGCGCCTTCGGTGGAGCTCTCATGGTGCCACGACCCTCGTGAGGGGTGTGCCGAATGGCCCGAGGCCGCCATGCGAACCCTGCCGCTGAGGCATTCGGTCAAATCCCTATGGGGCCACGATCCTCGTGAGGGGTGTGCCGAAATGGCCCGAGGCCACCATGCGAACCTGCCACTGGGGCCTTCGGTGGAGCTCCCTATTGGGCCACGATCCTCGTGAGGGGTGTGCCGAAATGGCCCGAGGCCACCATGCGAACCTGCCACTGGGGCCTTTGGTGGAGCTCCCTATTGGGCCACGATCCTCGTGAGGGGTGTGCCCAAATGGACCGAGGCCGCCATGCGAACCCTGCCACTGGCGCCTTCGGTGGAGCTCCCTATTGGGCCACGATCCTCGTGAGGGGTGTCCCGATATGGCCCGAGGCCGCCATGCGAACCCTGCTACTGGCGCCTTCGGTAGAGCTCCTTATGGGGTCATGATCCTCGTGAGAGGTGTGCCAAAATGGCCCGAGGCCACTATGCGAGCCCTGCCACTGAGGCATTCGGTAGAGTTCCCTATGTGGCCACGATCCTCGTTAGGGGTGTGCCGAAATGCCCCGAGGCCGCCATGCGAACCCTGCCACTGGCGCCTTCGGTAGAGCTCCCTATTGGGCCACGATCCTCGTGAGGGGTGTGCCGAAACTGTCCGAGGCCACCATGCGAACCCTGCCACTGGCGCCGTCGGTGGCGCTCCAGTGGCGCCACGATCCTCGTGAGAGGTGTCCCGATATGGCCCGAGGCCGCCATGCGAACCCTGCTACTGGCGCCTTCGGTAGAGCTCCTTATGGGGTCATGATCCTCGTGAGGGGTGTGCCGAAATGGCCCGAGGCCGCCATGCGAACCCTGCTACTGGGACATCCGCTGGAGCTCCTATGTGGCCACGATCCTCGTGAGGGGTGTGCCGAAATGGCCCGAGGCCACCATGCGAACCCTGTCACTGGGGCCTTCGGTGGAGCTCCCTATGGGGCCACGAAGCGTTGTACTGGGTGGGCGAAGCGCAGGGAGGAAAGAGGGGGGAGGGGGAGGAGGGAGGAAGGAGGAACGCGAGGCACCGTCTCGTCAAAACGAGGACCCAACACCACAGGATGGTTGGGAGGGAGGAGGAGGAGGAGGAGGAGGAGGAGGAGGAGGAGGAGGAGGAGGAGGAGGAGGAGGAGGAGGAGGAGGAGGAGGAGGAGGAGGGAGGAGGGGGAGGAAGAGGAGGAGGAGGAGGAGGAGGAGGAGGCGGGACGGAGGGAGGGAGGGACGCGGGGCGCTGTCTCTTCAAAACGAGGACCCAACACCACAGGATGGTCGGGAAAGAAGAAGTGCAGTCGGGCACGCCGCAGGAATGACGGCAGCGCCAGCACGTCTGGACACGAGGCGGCCGAGGGGGCCGCCGCCGAGACTGGCGGCCACGCAAAGCCAGCGAACAAGTAATTTACAACGAGGGCCGAACGGCCCGGCGACGTCAGCGCGCACAGCTCCAAAAGCCCCCGGGAGGGCCCTAAGAGGGCCAACAAAAAGCCCCACTAGGGCCCCAAGAGGGCCCCAATAGAGCCAAACAGGTATCCACCATTGCCCCAACATGGCTCTACGAAGCTGTCTAAAATGGGCATCGTTTCTTGATGGGTTGGCGGGGATACGATAAGGGTCAATAGTTAAAAGACAACTCACAATACATGCATAATAATTGTATGTAACCTGATCAACCTACGAATTGGAACACGCACACACACACACACACACACACACGCACACACACACACACCGGAAGGGCACGGACTCAGACAAGCAAGGAAGCAATCCGTCAGGCAGGCCAGCAAGCAAACGAGTGAACACGCCTGAAGGGAAGCTTGGAGCCAATCTGGAACGCACTGGGGTGGGGCAGCGCAAGCCAGCATGTGGCAATCGAGTGGCAAGCTAGAGACGGTAAGCCAGATGCGCACGAGAAGATCAGTAAGCACGAGGAGATCAGTAAACGAATCCAGGGCTCAGCCAACGATACAGAACACGCGGGTGAACGGCCAACCATAATATACACAAGCCAAATGGAAATACGATCGCCCATGGCGTAAATTAGCACGCTGTACAAAGCGTGTCAAACGACAAAGCCGGGTAAAGGTCAGAGGCAGTCTGACTGGCAGGATAGCGGCAAGACAATGGAAACAATCGGGTAAACCAGCAAGCAAATGCGACGGCAAGACTCCATGCATACCAAAACGCTAGCCTAAACGCAAGCCGCGAGGCGAACTAGAATCTCTGCACGCTCCGTACACTATATCATATTAAAGGTGTTGGCGCTGGCGGCATCACATATTTTAAGCATGCCCAGCCCATCTACATCGATACCCGCCTGGGAACTACAGAAGACAGAACAAGACCCATGACACAGTAAACCTCCGTTGGAATCGATCGGTTACTGTTGTTCTGTATTGGCAGTGGTCGAAACTTCATATGACATGATGGCTTCCCACTCCACCACCTCTCATACCCTATAACGTTATCACAACTGCTCATACATTCGAATACGCAAACGTGGACGAGCCGCAAAAACGTGACAATGGCAAGCAAGTGTTGGCTGGGCAAAGAACTCTGGGACCCTACCGACGCCTCCATCTGTGCTGGAATAAGCAGACACAACATCGCAACACTGATATCACTTGCTGTGGGCATCGAGATCGCACTGACCGACATACTAGCGCCAAGCATCGATCCGCGAACTCCGACGACCGGCCTGGTTCTTGCAGTAAGCGACTTCACCCAACATGGCAAACCCTTTTCTCCGACGACAACGCATCATCATTGAAATGCAACTACCTCCTCTCGCGTCATCGCCCGCACACGCGTACGGATGCACAGAACAGCCCGCTGCACGGCAAGGCCCCGGACATCGCCGCAATCAGGACGAGGAAGGCGGGAGATCCTGGGCTTCTGTCGCATCCAGGAAAGCTTGGTGATTGAGTTCCTACCCCTTTCTGGGGAGCCCTCGGCACCACGAGCGCAATGTCAGGGAATAGGGAGAAGAAATTGTGTAGACTATGCTGGCATGCAGGACAGCACCCAGAGCTAAAACGGATAGGCTTCTCCTGCCAATATGAAGGTCCATACACCAAAACGTACGCAGAATATGCACGACAATCGAAACGAACCGCTGCTCCGAGGATGAGGGGGGTGCGAGGGGACCACAGCCACCAAGGCGCCACCAAGATTTCGGCAGCAATAAAAAATGCGGCGCGTGCAGCTTCGGGGCTAGCCGGAATTCGGCTTGCCCGTGCCGCGTGGCGCAAAGCCCGCCGACCAAGCGAGCTCCAAAAATATTCTACTGGGCTGGGCTTGAAGCAAGGTTCTGATTGGGAGGTTCGCAAGATGACATCTGCACATATTTCTCTCTCTCTCTCTCTCTCTCTCTCTCCCTCTCTCTGTCTCTCTCCCTCTCACTCCCGTCCTCACCCCGTCAACCGATGCATGCTTCCAAGAACCTATCAGACCTCCACAAGACGACCCCAAGTGGCCACGGAACCACCCGAGGATGCCCTCAAGATGCAACCATCATACGAGACATGCATTTGCGTCATTGATGGTGGCTTCCTCGTCTTTTCGCTTCTGATGGAGTTCTGAATCGCCCCGGGGCGCCTCCGGAAGGCTGCAGGAGGGGCCCCAGGGCCCCAGAGCGGCACACGAGCGGGGATCAGTGGGTGCAAGCCCTGATATGGCCACCCGGATGTAGCCCCAAGGTGGCCCACGACAATCCGAGACATCCCCCGAAGAGGCCCCTAAGAGGCTAACGTAGCATACTCCCCCCGTAGCATACCCCCCCATTGTTAAAGAATGTTGGCATTATCCCCCCGTCGCTTCCGATGGACTGCTGACGCCAAAGAATTGGCACCTTTTAACCGCCCTAAATGACCTCAAGATAAACCCAGAAAGACAGGTGACCAATGGATGATATGCGTCAAGCTGGCCCCCGATGAGTTCCCAATATTACCAAAAAGTGGCGCAACACAATCCAACAGCCCGCTGAAAGCCCCAGAGAGCCCTTGACAAAACCCTGGGGAGCACCTGGAAACCTCCGTGAGACTCACAAAGAATCACCCAACATGCTTCGACGGCCTACGACTGGGCACAGCACATAATAAACGTTTCGATGCTATCCATCACGATGGCCGTCGCGTGTTGTCGGGCTTCGCTGGTGAAGTTCAAGTCGGGGTGCGTTCAGTTGAATGTGACTTTCACTGTGCATATCAGCACTTCACCCCTGACGATCTTCACACAAGTACTCGGGGAAATAACCGCAGCCGACCAACTTCCCAACCGCCGCGATCACGCAGGCAGATGGCAACGGAGATTGGATATGGGCTGGCGGACTATGCGAAGCAGTTGCGTACCAGGGAATAGCCATGGAGATCCAGAAAGGGCACGCCAGATCAAGGAGGACCAACAGGGAGGATCTGAAGACGGGCGGCACGGCATAGAAAAGGGGAGATACATGGGGCCAGAATTCAGGAATTCATGAGTGATGACGTCATGATACACAATCCAAGAATAATGGGGAGGAGGAAAACCATATGCAAGGCACTGGTGCCGACGGCGACTAACAGAATGAGCGACGCTGTTTTGACGAGTAAGTACGGGCGACCAGCGCAGTCGCAAGCGCCCGGAGGCGGCGCCCGACTCAGTCGGGCACCTTAGGGAGCTGCGCTATACGCTGCGCCGCCAACGCCGCGAATGCGGACACGCCGCCCCTGGCGCAGCGCACGTCGTGCACCAGGAGCAGGGCCTGCCCCCCGCGCCGGCAGCCGCTCCCCACCCTGGGCATGCGCTCCCGAGCATCTCCGCCGGCGTCGCGGCACTGGCGCCGCAGTGGAGACAAGTGACGTGGCCAGGCCCCTGCGCGAGGGCGTGCGGCCACCACGACCGCCCTGCGAAAAAGGCGGCGTGCATGGCGCCTGGGCGGATGGGGTCGTCTCCGCTGCAGCGTTGCGGTGGCGGCGCTGGCGGGGGCGCGAGCCCAGCAGGGGCGGAGGCTCCCGGCGGCGCGGAACTCGCGCGAGCCCGGGCGCCGCGGCGCACTTTGCGCCAGTCGCGCGGCCGGCGGCGGGCGGCGGGCGGCGCCGCCGCCATGGCAGCCTGCTGCGTGGCTGCGATCACGCGCTGCGCGGCCTCCAGCTGCTTGAGCTCCTGGCGGCGTGTTGCCACAGCTGCTTGAGGCGGGGCCCGCTGCGCGGCGGTGTCCCAGCGGTGCCGTCGCCGCCGCGTTGCTGAGGCGGTCCCGCTCGCTCAGCCAGCGCTCGCGCGCCTCTGCTGGCGTCAGGTGCGCGGGGGCCCAGCGGGCCTGCAGCCTTCCGCTGCGGATAGCCTCCGCCGCCTGCAGCAAGATGTCGGCGTGCTCCCACTCCCGCGCGTCCGCGCCGGCCGCGACCTGAGCGCAGGAGCAACGCCGTACTTGCTGTCAGAGGCGAGGTCGATGGGACCGCCTGCGGCGCGCGCGGCCGCGACCACGGCTGCCACCTCGGCGCGCTGGGCGGTGTGCAGCCCGTCGACAGGACCGCCCATGTTGGGCTCGCCGGAGCCTGCGCAGCGCGAACCCCACGCCGCGCGCGCCAGCAGGGGGTCGGCCATCGCAAGAAATCAAAGAAAGCAACACTGGAGGCCAAAGGCGATTAGTTCATTTTTACGTGAATCTGGACCCAGGGGGTACGAATCTGTAGGGCGCGAGCTCTTCTCGTCTTGACCACCAACACGCAGAAGCTAGATGATGTAAGACTCTTGCAGCTCTCGACTGTCTCTCAAAGCAGAAATACTTTGGTGCACAGTGCACAGTACATGCGTGCATCCAAGTGTGGACCAAAATGGGGAGAGGAGGGACGTCTCACCATCAGGGGGGCAAAAGGAATGAATGAGTCGAGGACAGAATGGATGACTTTCACGATGGCAGGGGGAGATGCAGAAATGCGGGTGGCAGATATGGAGAACGTCAGAAGAACGGCCGAGAGGATGGAGCGGCGAGGGCGCCGCATCGAGACAGCGCAGACGCAGAGGGTGGTGCCCTCACAGCGGCCCCAAGTCCATGGGGTCCTTCGCAGCGGCTCCAATCGCAGACTGCCGGCCGTGACCCAAGCGCGCTTCCGAGCGCAGCTCTGGTGTCCGGGCGCGCTGACTACCCCCAGGCAGGAGGAGCACGGGGACGAGGAGGGCAAGGGGGGGAAGGGGGGGGGAGGGTCCTGGAGGAGGGCGCCAGCCCGTCCAGGGAGGGTGCCTGTTAGCACTGCCCGCGGGCGGCGCGCGCCGCAACGGGGCCTGCCCTCCTCCCCAGGCTCAGGCCCAGCCTTATTCCTCCCTCCCTCCCTCCCCCAAGCCACCCTCCTCCTTCTCGACATCCCTCCTCCTCCTCCTCCTCCTCCCCCTCCTCCTCCTCCTCCTCCTCCTCCTCCTCCTCCTCCTCCTCCTCCTCCTCCTCCTCCTTTCATTCGAAATAGCTCCCCACTGTCGCACCACCAAACGTGTCCGTAGGCCAGGCTCGGCGTTTGGGTTGGGAGTCCTTTGCGCAACAGTGATATATATATATATAGATATATGTAATTATATGTATATATATGTATATAAATGTATATATACAGAGATACACATATTCATATACATATTCATATATAGATATAGATATAGATATACACATGCAGCAGGCCAGGGCTGGGCCGCCTGCCCCCCCGCCCCAGATCCCTCCCGCGCAGCATGTCCAGGACCCCGAGGCGAATCCAGCCGCCGCGACGAGGGGCCCCCACCAGGAGGCCCCGAGAACGCAGGCGCGAGGAGAAGGGCACCGGCACCCTGCATGTTCCCTTGTCCGCAGAAGTCGCAGTGCTGTCACAGCGTCGACCCCCAACAATAGTGGACCCCTTCCCCGGGGCCCACGATCGTTTTTGACAGTTCCGGGGCCCGGCGAGGCCCCCGCGAGGCCGAAAACAGGGGGACATCTCCAGTCGTGCTCTTTTTCGCGGCGCCAGCGTGTCCGGCCTTACTCCTCTGGCCGACCACAGGTTTGCTCCTTCTACGCTGCTTATGTCTCCACCCTCCCTCCTGGGAGTTCCAACTGCATTCGCTTCAAAACCATGTATGGGCAAAGCTCTGCATCGCGCTCCTAGCATCAGGGGAGCCAACGTGCGCCCAGCGCCCTGGCGCCACCGACGTGCTCTTTCCAAGGCCGTCCTGCGGGACGATTGTCGGCTTCCTGTCCTGCCCTCCGGGGGTCCCCAAACGGTGTGGTGACCACACCGCGTGGTGATTCAGTGGGGATTCAGAGCCACCACGCGGATTAGGGACTCGGGTCGCTCTTGAAGGACGTCTCGGGCGACTGGGGCCTCCGAGGTCCCAAAACCGTGCGGCGACGGACCGCGCGGTGAGGTCGTTTGGGATTCCGAGGTCACCACGCGGACCGTCACCACACGGTTGTGGGACCCCCAGTGTCTGAGCATTGTTAAACCGACCCATATCCCCATGGGCGTGGCCTGGGCCCCACCAGCCGACTTACCCCCCCAAAAGATGGGATGAGGATGTAGGCCGTTTCCTCCGGGCCTCGAGGGGTATATCCCTGACTGGGGTGAAAGGATGGTGGGGGTCTGGATGGGGATGGAGGCGGGTATAAATATATATATATATATATATATATATATATATACATATACATATACATATAGATAGATAGGGGGTCGGCGAAACGATCCCGAGGGCCCTGTCCTCTGGCTGGCCCCCCCGCGGCCGCGTCTCCTCGCGGTCCAGGCGGTCCAGCTCGGCCTCCGCCGCCTCCAGCCGGGCCCGCACCTGGGCGCCCGCCGCGGCTGGCCACGCCAACGCCCAGGCGGCGGAGCGCGCCGACGGGCCTGGGCACAGTGTTTTTTGTTGGCCTGCGGCGCGGTGGATCCAACACTGGCGGCGAGCACCAGGGGGGGGGCTGGGGGAAGCGGGGGAGGCTGCTCAGAATCGGGAGTCTACTGACCCGGGTCAATCCAAACCCCCGTCAGTCAGGCCATGCAGGATCCTGCAAGATCACGCTGGATCCTGCAGGATCCTGCACCAAGCCCGGGTCAATGCGCTCCTGCCTCTGCAGGATCCTGCACGACCAAGCGCTCCAGCGGACCCCCCGGTTGCATTGACCCTAGTCAGGCCCTAGTCTCTTGAGCCACGATAGAAGGAGGCTGCGTCTTAGAAGGCGCTGGCCCTGAATCTATAGATAAGGCCCGCGCCGTCTAAGGAAGCAGGGGTGCTTCTAAGAAGTCTTTCGCCCTCCCCCTACCCCCGTCTGCGCGTGGCCGGCCACAAGGGGTTGGGCTAACGGCGGGACGCGTCCGTGGCTAAGTTTGGCGGGAACGAAGAGGGGAGCGAAGAGTGGAGGAGGAAGCGGCCGCGGAAGGGCAAGAGAACTTTCAGGCAATGTCGATCTTCAAGGGTCTGGCTGACACGCGACCCCCACGCTGAGCGGGGGAGAGGGGCAGTGACGAGGAGGGGGACCAGCCCCCCTAGGAGGTAACTCCTGGGGGTCCTGGGAGGTCTTCGTCAGAACGATTATAAAAGATAAAACCAGATCATATTTGGCCAATGGGCTGGACTCGGCCAGGCTGGGTCTGGAATTGAGCTGGATTATCAGCGGGCTGATGCGGGATTAAGCTGGATCAAACGGGATTCTGAGCTCGATTGAACGGTACGGTGCTGGAATCTGCCAGATTCCGAACACGGATAAACGGACATACCAGCGCCGATGCTGAATTTGCCCTCCCAGGAGTTGCATCCTAAAGGAGGGGGCCCAGACCCCCTCGCGCTGTGACCAACATCACAACGGGAGGCTTTTGGACATTTCCAGCTTCTGTGGGTTGTCGCCAGGCACCAGGGCCGTCAGACAACGACTCGCGAAGAACAGCCGGTCCTGGGAAAGGGGTCCATATCTCCGCGGGACTACGTTGTAAAACAATCACGATGACGGGGGTCTGACCGGCGGAACCAACGTCAGGGAGGATAACATAAACGTTGGGGATACAAGCGCTAGCGTTAGGGAGGAAGCCAACAGCCATACCATGACACCGATTCTAGCCAGGCCAATCCTTGGGCCAGGATGCGTGCGTACGCCCTTCAGGTTTGGCCAAGAAAACGTATACAGCGATTCTGGGTCCGGGATGGGTCTGACCAGGATCGGTGTCGGTGTATGTTCGGCGCCAAGGTGGATTTCCTGGCGTCCGACGTCGCCCAAACACAAAGCAACGTCAGGTCGCGAATGCAAATGCGATTGGAACTCTCGCCCCATCATGATATGAGATGTCTCGAGCCACCACATCGGGCCTGGCTTGACTCGCACGACGCTCCACTCGCACGGATCTGAACTCGCACGGGGCTGAACTCTCACGCGCTAAGCTCGCACGGGCCCCCGCTCGCACGGAACGTCACCCGCACGGAGCTGAGCACGCCCAGATCTCCACTCGAACGGGGCCGCACACAGCTGCACTCGCGCGAGCACCTCGCGCGCGAGCGGAGCCCGTGCGAGTCCAGTGGCGAGGCCGAAGGGGAGGAGGGGGAACGAGTGGGGGAAGAGGAGGGGCGAAGGGGGGACGGAGGGCTGTGGGAGGTGGTGTGGTGTGGTGGTCGGGCGCGGGTTGGCGCGCCCCGTGCAGCTCGCTGCTGAAGTCCTTCATCATCGCGGTCATCACCGCGATGAGGTCTGGGTATGCGATGCCTTTCCGCGGCTCCTCGGCCGAGCTGCTCGCTTCTGAGCGGGGTACTCGCAGGTGGCTGGGAGGGGGCGGGGTGCAAGCAGCAATGCGCCGGGCTCTGCTGGTGACGGGCAGGATGCAGACTGCTGCGGACAGTGAGAGGACGACGGGGGCTCATCCGATGACGGGAGGGGGCCAGGAGGAGGGAGGGGAAACGTGTCAGAAGAATGACATGCAGACGACGCGGGGAAGGAGGCAAGAGGGAGAAGGGGGAGTGGGGGGGGGAGGCAATGGAGCGCGCCGCGCGGGGTGGGTGAAGGAGGGAGGGCAGGGGAAGGGGACAAAGGTCAGGGAGCGCGGAGCGCGGCACGACAGAGAGCGCAGCCCACGGCCACGCCCGCCCGAAGACCCAGGGAAGAAGAGCTCGGTCGAAACCGTCGCCGAGCGCCCTCGGTTGCAGCTCGTGGGAGCCTGTCATCTCGCTGGCTCTTGCAAGTCGACGCAAACCGACGTGAATCGACGCTACTCGACGCCGGCCGGCGCCGATCGAAGCTACGTGGATACGAAACGGCGCTGAATCTGCACTTTCTCGGCGATGGCCAGACGCTGGCACACGCTAGTGCACTCCAGCGAGGACACACAAGGCTCCAGCAACTTGCTGCCAGAAACGATCCTCGGAATGGTCCCCGCTTTCTGCCCGCGCCCACATCGCCGCGCCGAGCATCGCACCTGCGCGCGCGCGGCGGAACCAGCGCGGCCCCGCGCGCCTTGCGGGCGCCCTGCGCATGGATCGCCGGTGAGCGGCCGTCGCCTGCCAGGATTGCTCCCACCCTCGATTGGGCGTTGCTCAAAGGCGGGGCGGAAGGAAGGGGGAGGAGAAACGTGCTCCTGTTGGCCCCCCCAGGGGGGCCCCTTCAGTGCACAAATGGTGCGTCCGTCGGCCCACCGGAAAAGTAGCCTGGCGAAGGACCAAAACCTATGCAGTTTTTAGTAACGCAATTGTGAGCATCGTCTTCGGTGGAGCTCTCTGTGGGCCCACGAAACGTGTGAGGAATCTACGGACATGGGCGCGGTTAGCGCATGCAAACGCAGCAGCCGAGGTTTCCGGTGAAGTTCCACTTGGGGCCACGAAGCGTGTGAGTGGTGAGCCGAAAGTGGGCGGGGCAGGCGCATGCGGACACCGCCACTGGGGCGTTCGGTGGGGCTCCCCATGGGGCCGCGACACGGTTGAAGGATGTACCGAAATGGGCGGGCGGACGCACGCGAACACCGCCACTGGAGCCGTCGGCGGTGCTCCCTATGGGGCCACGAAACGTGTGACGGGTGTGCCGAAATACGCCGGGCGGGCGCATGCGAACACCGCCATTGGGTCCTTAGGTGACGCTCCCTGTAGGGCCACGAAACGTGTGAAGGGTGTGCCGACATGGGTGCGGTGGGCGCATGCGAACGCAACCGCTGAAGCTTTCGGTTGAGTTCCCTATGGGGCCCAAAAACGTGTGACGGGTGTGCCGAAATACGCGCGGCTGACACATGCGAACGCAGCAACTGTGGCCTTCGGTGGAGTTTCCTCTGGGGTTACGAACCGTGTGAGGGGTGTGTCGCAATGGGTTCGGTGGGCACATGCGAACGCAGCCACTGGGGTCTTCGGTGGGTTCCACCAACTGTTTGCGAGGTGTGCCGGATTGGGTGCGGTGGGCGCGTGTGAACGCTGCCTCTGGGGCCTTCGGTGGAGCTCCCGATGGGGCCACGAAACGTGTGAGGGGTGTGCCAGAATGGGTGCAGTGGGCGCATGCGGACGCAGCCACTGGGCCCTCGGTGGAGTTCCTTGTGTAGACACGACACACTTGAGGAATGTGTCGAAATGGGCGCGGTGGGCGCATGCGACCGCAGCCACTGGAGCCTTCGACGAAGCTCCCTGTGGAGCCACGAAGCGTCTGAGGGGTGTGCTGACATGGGTGCGGTGGGCGCAAGCGAATGCAGCAACATGGACTTTCGGTGGAGTTCCCAGTGAACCCCGAAGCGTGTGAGAGGTGTGTCGACATGGCCGCGGTGGGCGCATGCAAACGCAACCACTAGGGCATTCGGTGACACTCCCTATGGTGCTACGAAACGTGTACGGTGGGGTATGCCGAAATGGGCGCGGTGGGCGCATGAGAACGCAGCCAGTGGGGCCTGAGGTGGCGCTCCCTGTGGGCCCACGAAGCGCGTGAGGAGTGTGTCGAAATGGGTGCGGTGGGCGCATGCGAACGCAACCACTGGGATCTTCGATGGAGCTCCTTATGAGGCCACGGAACGAGTGAGGAGTGTACGCCGAAATTGTTGACAGGTGCGGAGGGCAGAAGCAGGAATGGTAGGAGAGGGGAGGGGGAGGAGGAAGGAGAGTAAACGCAGGCAGTGTCTCTTCAAAACGAAGACCCAACCATATGCAGCTGCGAACACCGCAAGACAGATGAGGTGGAGGAAGGGGGCACGCACCGCATGCGGACCCTGCCGCCGGAGCCTTCGGTGGAACTGCCTCTTTTGACACGGAACGTGTGCGGGGTGTGCCGGATTGGGTGCTGTGGCGCCATGCGGACCCCTGCCGCTGAGGCCTTCGGTGGAGCTGCTTGTGGGGCCACGAAACGTGCGACTGGTCTGCCAAACATGGGCGCGGTGGCGCCATGTGGACCCTGCCGCTGAGGCCTTCAGTGGAGCTGCTTGTGGGGCTACGGATCGCGAGAGGGGTGTACCGAAATGGGCGCCGTGGTGCAAGCCGGACCCTGCCGCTGGGGCCTTCGGTGGAGCTCCCTGTGGGGCCACCACGCGTGCGACGGGTCTGCCAAACATGGGTGCGTCGGCGCCATGCCGACCCTTCCGCTGGGGCCTTCGGTGGAGCTCCCTGCGGGGCCACGAAACGTGCGACGAGTCTGCCAAACATGGGTGCGGTGGGCGCATGCGGACCCTTCCGTTAGGGCCTTCGGTGGAGCTCCCTATGCGGCCGCGAAGCGTGTGGGTTGTATGCCGAAATTGCGGACCATGCCACTGGGGCCTTCGGTGGAGCTCCCAATGCAGCCCCGAAGCGTCTGAGGGTTGTGCCGAAATTGGTGCGGTGGCGCCATGCGGACCCTCCCAGTGGGACTTTCGAGGGAGCTGCCTGCTGGAACACGAAACGTGTGAGGGGTGTGCCAGATTGGACGCGGGGTGGCGCCGTGTGGACCCCTGCCGCTGGGGCCTTCGGTGGAGCTGCTTATCGGGCCACGGAACGCGAGAGTGGTGTACCGAAGTGGTTGTGGTGGTGCCGTGCGGACCCTGCCACTGGGGCCTTCGGTGGAGCTTCCTGTGGGGCCACGAAACGTGTGCCGGGTCTGCCAAACATGGGTGCGGTGGCGCCATGCCGACCCTTCCGCTGGGGCCTTCGGTGGAACTCCCTGCAGGGCCACGAAACGACGAGAAAGGAGGAGGGAGGATGGGGGAGAATGAAGGCGTGAGGAACGAGGGGAGTTGTCTCGTCCAAACGAGGACCCAACACCACAGGATGGCTGGGAAAAAACAAAAAGGTTCTCCCTTCACCTGCCAGACGCCCAATGGTAAGGAGTGCGTCCAGCTGCACGACGGCGAGCTGCGTCTCTCGGAGAAAGGCCGGTTGAGCACGCGGCGCTTCTCCACAGGACGAGAACTGAAGGCGGCACCCACCACGGAGGCAGAGGCAGCCGCAACATCGCAGGCGCGCGCGTGCGCCCCACCCTGGGGGGCCATGCGCTGGATGGTGTTCGCCTCTAAGCTTCTAGCCTGGATCCCTGCGCTGGATGCCCCTTTCGCCTGGAGGTCGCTCTCTAGCCCCGATCCTGGGGATCGCTCTCTGGCCTGGACCCCTGCGCTGGATGCTGTTCGCTGTGACGCTTCTGAGCTCGACGTGTCCTCGGATCTTGGAGGGGCCGTGCGGCCCCCTGCCCCGACCCTGGAGAGGATTGGGAGGCCCCCGGGGAGCCCGCGAGAAGCCGAGGAGTGCACGAGGGCAGGCCGACGATGGTCCCAGAACGGCCTACGAAACAACAGCTCGAGACTGGAGAAGGCACGGAGCACCGTGCTTCTTCTGTGTCTACAGGGGGAGCCCATGCCGAGAACCGCTCTGCTTGCCTCCAGGGTGCCCTGGAGTCCTTGGGCTTCGATGGTTCTACTACGTGGCGTCTCCGTACTACAAAAAACAATGGGCATCCTGGGGTCTCGGGGCTGATTTCTTGCGGAACGTCCCTTGTGGTCGAGCTTCTGCAAAGCCTTTCGGGCCAGGATCGTGGACCAGAGGCCTCTTGAATGTCCAACGCTGTCTGTTTCAAAGTGTGCTCGGCTATGCAGTTGTACGTTTCTTTCCCCCCCCGATCTCAGAATGGCTGCAACACAGACCCATTAAGAACATCCATGGGTGCAATGACAACTGCCTGGGTCGAAGTACAGTCAACCCGTATCATAAGGATGCGCGGTAAGGATGCAAGGGCCTTGGAGGGCCAAGTTGACGTTGTTCAAACGAGGCTGGCCAGTGGCAGTCGCTAAGGATGGGCCGACGGGGCAAGGATGCAGTGGCACCCTTGGGAAGGTTGCCCATCCTATGCGGGCTAGTGCACCTCGTGCCGACTCGTGCCTGAAGCTCCTGGCCTGGAACAGGAACTCCAGAACGGCGGCTTGCGGCCTGGCGGCCTTGGCGCCTCACATCCAGTGCGACTCGATCGACTCAGCTGCGCCATGGTGCTCCGCGTGCGGTGCTTGGCGGCCAAGACAAACACACGGTGGGATGCGCAATCACTTGCAACACTCTTGCGGACCTGTTGCGAACGATGTCAAATGGACTTGGGGAAGGAAGAGATGTGGAACATCCTCGCCGAACACGGAACTGCACAACTGCGGACGGCATTCTTCAATCACGACAGGGGAAGACCGTCAGGCCAAGCACTGACCCACTGGCGCGAGAGGCGAAGGGCAGTGGGCGAGGGGTTGGAAGGCTGCTCGTTTTAGAAAAAGCGCACAGGTCTCACTCCAAGCCGCGCCTTGAACACAATCCGAAGGTTTCACGAGCAAGCGATACAGGACACCAGACCTACTCCTAGCTCTACAGACATGGTGAGAAGGCTAGCGGACGGCAAGCCAAGCTAGATGGTACGCTTCGCTGCCTTGCCACACCAGAGGCAGCACTACAAGCGGCCGTGCAAGCTTGCAACGACTTTGCGACGTGACGGGCTGATGCAGACCTGCTATCCCCCTCACGGCTGCTCCCCAGCGCATCCCGCTGCAGCGCGGCGCAGCCGGGAAGCCTGGCCGTCACACGGGGAAGTATGCGGCCACGAGCTCCAGCGCGTCCTCCCGCGCAGCGGCCACCGAGTGCCGTGGCCCGCTCAGCCGCAGCTCCCTCCTGTCGGCCGCCACCTTCAGCTCGACCTGGTAGTCCTCCGAGAACGCAGCCAGGTCCCCCTCGAGGGCCTCCCAGTCCACCGTAGACCCTGGCGGCACAGCCCCCCGGACGACGCAGTGCGGCTCGACCTCGACCTCCACCTCGTCGTCGAGGGCGTCGATGTACAGCGGCTCGCAGTCGTCCTGCTCCTGGAGCGAGACACCGCCCATGGCGACAATGCAGTCACCCACCCCGAGGCCAGGCTGACCTGGCTCCTCGTCCACCTCATCGACGACCATGCCGTACCAGGTCGCGCGGGCCTCGATGCCCGGCCCGAGCGCAGGATCCACCCGAAGCTTCAGGACGCGCGCCCCCTCGAGCTCTGCACCGCATGGAGCGTCGAACGCGAACTCGCGCCTGGACTTCGTCCTGCGCAGCTCCATACGCCTCTTCTGCTCGTCGCCGCTTGGCCCGCCCTTGGAAGCGGCGGCCTGCTCCGCCGCCACAGCAGACCGGAGCGCCGCCACGTCGGCCGCGATAGACCCGGCCTCGTGGCCGCTGACCCCGCCAGCCGCCCGGAACTCCGCCAGCGCCACGGTGGCGGCGGACAAGTCGCGCCGCGAGAGCGCGTCGCGGGCCTTGGCCTCGGCCGCCTCGCACCGCTCCCGCTTGCGCCGCTCCTCCTCTGCGGCCGGGTCCTCGAGGAGGCGCCTCGCGGCCAGGTAGGCATCCGACGCCTCCAGCTCCTTGATCTGCGTCAGGATCGCCCCCTTGGTTTTCTTGGGTGCCTTCTTGGCCTCCGCACTCAGGCGCGACAGCTCCGCGGCCGTCTGCTCGACGAGCCGCTTGGCCTCCGCGTATTTGGGATCCTCCATGCGCAGGCGGTCGAGCAGCCGTGCCTTTCCCTCCGCTTCGAGGCCCACGCCCTCCGCGAAGTCGTCGAAGAACTCGGCCACCTCCTCCAGCAGCTCCGCACCCTGCTCCCTGCACCAGTCTTGGGCCGCGCCCACAGCGCCAGCGAGGCCTGCGTCCCGCATCGCGGCGCTCAGGCCGGGCACCAGCTCATTTTCCTCAGGGACGACTGGCGGCTGCTGCACGGGTGCTTCCGCCAGCTGCGGAAGCTGCGCCGGCGGGGGCGCGGGCGGCTGCTTCACAGCTGGCTCTGCCGGCTTTGGAGGCTGCCCTGGAGGGGACACTGGTGCCGCAAGCTCCTCCTGGGCCTGAGCGGGCTTCGCAGGCACCTCGGCGGGCACGGCGGCGCCCATGAGCTGCGTGAGCTCCGCTTGCAGCTTCGCAGCCTCGCCAGACGCGCCAGACCTCACGCGCGTCATCTCCTCGCGCAGGCGGGACGCCTCCTGGCAGGCCAGCCTGGCCTGCGACTGCTCCCCAGCCAAGTCCCTCTCCACCTGGAGGAGCCTCTCGCGGTGGCTGCTCAGCTGCTCCTCGTAACGGCTGGCCTGCTCGGCCTGGGCCTGCTGCAGGGCCTCCACCTCCGCCGCGGCGCCCGCCGCGTCCCGCGCGGCCTGAGCCGACAGGGCCCGGCCCTCCTCCCCCTTCTCGGCGCACTCAGCGCGCAGGCGGCCCGCGCCGGCGGAGAGCTCCAGGGCCCTGGCCGCGTGGCCCTCGGCCGCCTCCCGCTCCTCGGCGGCCTCCCCCCGGGCCTGCGCCAGCTGCTCCCCCAGCTCCGCCAGCTGCTGCCGCAGCTCCGCCCTCTGCGCCTCCGCGGCGGCCTCCAGGCCCGCCAGCGCCACACTCTGCCGCTCCGCCCCCTCGCGCAGTGCGGCCTGCTCGCTCGCCGCCTCGGCGTCGCCGGCCGCCCTGCGCTCCCTCTCCGTGCGCGCGGCCTCCTCCGCGGCCTCCCGGCGGCGTGCCTCCTCCGCCGCCTCCCGCCGTGCGCGCTCCACCTCCCCGGCGAGCCTGGCGGACTCCTCGGCCGCCTCCCTGGCCCCCCGCTCGCGGAGGCCCGCTTCCTCCTCGTGCCTCTGCCGCCAGCCAGAGGCCTCCGCCTCGAGCGCCGCGACGTCCTCCCGCGCCCTGGCAGATGCCGCTCGGCCCTGCTCTCTCTCGCCGTCGAGGTCCCTCCTGACCTGCTCCAGCTCGGCGGCGAGGCCGGCCAACTCCCCAGCCGATCTCTCGGCCCCCTCCTCTGCGGCGCGCTCGTCCCGCGCGCGCCTGGCGCGCTCCTCTGCCGCCTCGGCCTGGAGGCGATCTCGCTCCAACGCCGCCTCGGAGGCGCCATCCCTCCTGAGACGAGCCTCCTCCGAGTGCTCCTGCCGCCAGCGCTCGAGTTCCCTGGCCAGGCTGCTCGTGTCTCCAGAGGCTTTTGCCACGGTGGCCTCCCCGCGCTCCCTCTCCCTCGCGCACTCCGACCGCCACTCTTCCACCTCCGACGTCAGGGCTGCGGCAACGCCTGCGGCACTGGTCGCCGCTGCCTCGCCGGCCTGGCTCTCCTCCGCGAGCATGTCCCGGGCCTCCTGCAGCATCGAAGTCAGCTCCGCCTCCTCGTCGCGCGCTGCCGAAGCATCTGCTTCGCGACACTCCCGCTCGCCCGCCAGCTCCGTGCGCCACCGCTCCACCTCGTCTGCGTGCGAGTTCGCGGCCTCCTCGGCCTTCGACAGCTCCGTTCGCACACGTTCCAGCTCGGCGCGCAGCTGCGCTGCGCCATCGCTGGCCCCCTCCGCCTCTGCAGCCCGCCGGGCTGCCTCCTCGGCGTGCTCCTGCCTCCACCTGCCTACCTCCGCGCCCAAGGCCGCGTGCTCCTGGGCGGCCTCGTCGGCCGCCTCCCTCTGGCGCTCCGCCTCGGCGATGAGCTCGGAGCGCATTTGGCCCACCTCGGCGAGCAGCTTGGCCTCGTGGCGGGACGCCTGTGCCCTGTCGCCCTCCCAGTGCACCGAGCTGTCCGCCAACTGCCGCCGCAGCTCGTCGCCCTGTTCCCGCAGCCGCCCCAGCTGCGCCTCGGCGTCGGCTGCGGCCGCCGCGGCACGCTCGGCCTCATCCGCCAGCGCACTGCGCTTCTCGCTGAGCTCGGCCTCGAGCCCAGCAAGGCGCCTGGCGGCCTCCTCGGCCTCCCTCCTGCGGCGCTCGGCCTCGTCGGCGTACTCGCTGTGCCACCTCTCGGCCTCCCCCGCGAGCCGTGCCACCTCCTCCGCCGCGGCGGCGCGCGCCGTGCCAGCGCGCTCGGCCTCGCTGGCGTGCTCCGACTGCCAGCGCTCAACGTCCCTCTGAAGGTCGCTCTGCACAGCCTTTAGCTTCGACTCCAGCTCGTCCCGCTCCCTGGAGGCCCTCTCCGAGTCGGCCACCCGACCCTTTAGCTCCACGGCGTGCTCCTGGCTCCACCTCTGGACCTTCTTCTCCAGCACGGCCTCCTCGTGCTTTACAACCTGTTCCTTCGCCTCAGCGCGCAGCAGTTCCTCTGTGTGCTCAGAGCGCAGCCTGTCCATCTGGGCGGCCAGCTGCGAAGCGTTCCCGGAGGCCGCCTCAACGTCCCGCTCTCTCTGCTCAGCCGCCCTGGCGTGCGCCTTCCGCGTGCGAGCCAGCTCCTCTTGCAGGGCCGCCAGCTTCCTCTGCGCGTCCGCCTCGGCGGCCTCGCTGCGGCCCTGCTGCTGGAGGAGGTCGTTCTGCCTCTCCTCAAGATCGGCCTGCAACCTCGCTACATCCGTGGCCGCCCTCCCCTGGTCTGCCGCCCTCAGGGACGCCTCCTCGGCGTGCTCCCCCCGCCAGCGCTCCGCGGCGGCCTCGAGCCGCGCCTGCTCACGGGCCGCACCCTCGGCGGTGGCCCGGCAGCGGCCGATCTCAGCCTCCAGCTCGCCGCTCAGCACCTCCGCCCGCGACCGCGCCTCGGCCGCGCCGCGCGCCGCCAGCTCCCCGTCGGCCTCCCAACGCCCCGCCTCCTGCGCGCGCTCGAGCCGGAGCCCGTCCGCCTCGGCCCTCGCCTCGGCCAGCTCGGCCGCGGCCGCGGTAGCGGCCTCCGCCCTCTGGGCGACCTCCTCGGCGTGGGCGCCGGCCTGCCGATCGAGCTCGGCCTTCAGCCCGGCGGCGCGGCCCGCGGCGTCGGCGGCATCCCGCTCCCTGCGCTCCGCCTCGTCGGCGTGCGCCGCCCGCCACCGCTCCAGCTCCTCCGACAGCTGCTCCGTCTCGCCCGATGCGGCAGCGGCCACGGCCCTCGACTTGCCGACCTCTTCGGCGTGCATGGCCTGCCACCTGGCCAGCTCTGCCTTCAGCTCCTCCTTCGCCTCCGCCGACTTCGCCGCCGCCGCCTTGCCAGCCTGGCCCTCCTCCTCGAGGCTGCTCTGCAGGGTCCTCAGCTTGGATGCCAGCTCCTCCTGCTCCTTGCCCGCTGCTGCCGCGGCAGCCTCCCGCTGGCGCCTCTCGGCGGCGTGCTCGTCCCTCCAGTGTTTCAGCTTCTCCCCCAGCTCCGCCGCGTCCGCCTTCGCTCTTCCCGATGCTTTCTTTCGATGCTCCACCTCCTGCGCCAGCTCCGCGCGCAGCTTCTCGACCTCGGTGAGCAACTGCGAAGCCCTGCCAGAAGCCCTGGCCAGGTCCGCGTCCCTGCTCTCCACCTCGGCCTTCAGCCCACGCTCGCGCTCGCCCGCGTCGGCGGCGGCAGCCCGTGCGCCCTTCTGATCTTCGGCGCTCTCCTCCCTCAGTCGCTCCAGCGCCGTGGAGAGTTCGGCTGCCGCCCTTGACGCGGCGGCTGCGTCGCCCTCCAAGGCCTGCCTCTCCCGTGCGAGCTCCGCCTCCAACCTCGTCGCCTGAGAGCGGAGCGCGGCCGAGGCTTCCTCGGCGGCGAGGACGGCCGCCCTCAGGCGGCCGGCCTCCTCGGCGCCGCTGGCCTTGAGCTCGGCGGCCTCCTCCGACAGCCTCGCCGCGGCCTGCGCCGACGCCAGCAGCGCGGCCTCCCTCATGCGCAGCTCCTCGTCGTGCGCAGCCCTTTGGGCCTCCAGCTCGCCGCCGATCTCCACCGCGCGCTCGCGGGAGGACCGCACGGCCGCCTGCTCTAGGCCGAGCTCCTCTGCGCGTGCCTCGGCTTCCCGCCCGGCCTCCTCGCGGAGGGCGGCCAGCTTGCCCTCGAGCGCCCGCTGCGCCTGCTGCGAGGCCGCCTCGCTCCGGCTGACGTCCTCCGCCCCCGCTGCCTTGGCCGAGGCCACCGCCTCCTCTGCCTCGCGCAGCCTGCGCTGGCCGTCCTCGCGCTGCGCCTCGGCCTGCAGGGACAGCTCTGCCGACTCTCCGCGCGCCTTGGCCAGCGCGGCCTCCTCGGCGGTGGTGTCGCTCGCGCGGCGCTCCGCGAGCTCGCGCAGCTCCTGCTGCAGCTCGGCGCATCTCTCGCTCGCCTGCCTCGCCTCGGCGTGGCCCTCCGCGCGCAGTCTCTGCGCCTCCGCCTCCGCGGCGCCGACCGCCGACAGTCTCTCGGCGTGCGCGGCGCGCAGCGCCTCCAGTTCTGACGTCAGGGACGAGATGCGCCCCTTGGCCTCGGCGACGTCCGCTGTCGCGCGCACGTTCGTGCTCACGACCTCGCCCTGGAGCCTCTCCAGCTCGCCCTTCATCGCCATAATCTCCGTGCGGGCGGCGAGCATGAGCCTCGCGTCGCTCGACTCGGGCGGCGGGGCTGCCGGCTGCTGGCCTGCCACGGCCAACGCTGGCACGGGCTCCGAAGCCTGCGTGACCTCCAGGGGCTCTGGGGTGGCGGTGGCGGGCGCTGACGCCGGCACGGCTGGGCCGTCTGGCTCTGCCGCCGCGGCAGTGCCAATCGCCTTCTTGAGGCGCTTGACCTCCAGAGGCTTCAGTTTGAGGTGTGCGCCGAGGTCGCCGCTCTTGTCGAGCAGCTCGGGCAACAAGGCACAGCCGGAATCCCGGCACCACGCCAGCGCGGCGGCTACGTGCTGAGCGTCGAGCTGGGCCTCCTGCATCAGCTCCTCCAAACGCAGTGGACTGGCAGGCTCCGCCGCCGCCGCCGCCGCCGCCCCTGACGTCTGCTCGGCAACCTCTGGCGCTGGCGGTGGTGCCGTTGCAGCTTGGTCCTGCAGCAGCTTCCGGAGCCGTTTCTGCTCCAGCGGCTTCAGCCCGAGGCTGGGCACCAGCTGGTCCACCTGCGCTGCCGCGGCAGCGAGGCTCGTCAGGCCCTGCTGCAGGCACCATGACGTGGCTTGCGGGCAGTGCTCGGAGAGCTGGGCCTTGTCGAAGACCTCGCTGAGCCCGGGCACGTCGAGAGGCGCGCCGTCGCCAGGCGACTCCGCCGACGCTTTCGAGCTCTGGACAGCGGCACCGCCACCCTGCAGGCGCGCCAGAAGCCGCTTCCGCTCCAGCGCTTTGAGGCCCAAAGCACCGACGAAGTCATCAAAAAAGTCTAAACCGCCACCGTGCCTGTGGCACGTAGTGGAGCGCTCTCAGGTCCTGCGCGACCCTTCACAGAACAACTCTGGGGATTCATAGTGACCGCGGACGCTCCACTCATGGAACACTCGGGGCTCGTCGCGTGGCCTTTCCCCAGGATCAAAGACTGCTGTTGGGAACCCTGGCCTCCACACGCCCACGCTGGCCCCCAGACGCCCGCCTCGGACCCCTCGCGGGGGTCTCTTGGGCCGTCTTGCGGCTGCGGGCGGGCTGCTAGGAGACGCCACTGCCACAAG